CAACTCTTGGGCTACTCTTTTACCAACGAATAGTGGGATTGACCGTCACATTATAACGCCCCCACGGCTGAAAGTGCGAGCATGTTTGGTGTGACGGGAATTCGAACCCGAAACCCTCGGATTGTGAGTCGAGCGCCCTAACCACCTGGCCATGCCGGGCCAACCTGCGTTGAACACAGTAGCTTATTTGGTAGGTTTGCGTTTAACAACAAACAAACAAAAAAGCAGGGTCTCTTGTGGCTTTGAGGAATTTTGTGTTATTCAATAAAATGTTTATGAGATGTTAAAACAGATAGAAACTATAACAAAAGAAGGTGAAAGGACAGCAGATAAATAAAAACTTAAGAGATAAACAAATAAGTTGCCAAAAATATAACGTTAGTAGATTGAGAAAACTACACATATTTCGTTGGAAGTATTACTATACCAGATGGTAATGCAGAAAATTAATTTGAGTGGCAGTAATCGAACGTAGCGGAAACTCGCCAAGAATTTGAGCTTAGGTTTGTAGAGGGCACTCGAAGTGAAGAAAAATAAAAAGATACTGTTCGAAAAACACTACTGGATACTTTGAAATATTATGTTTTATTTATGTACGTCTGTTCAGATTCATTTTGGGATAAAACCAAATAACAAAAGACGTGATATAGAGAAAACATCTAAGAAAATTTTTTATTGTCTTTTTTGTTTGTATTATTTTTTCTTTTTCTTTTTATTTCTTTTATTTCTGGCCTAACCTTTTCATGATATGCTTTTTCGATTTTGGACGCCAAAAATTTTGCGTCAGAAAGCGGTATCCGCTCCCAAATTTACCCTGTATTACCCCCTATATACTACTTTTTTCAGCTTCAGCAGTGATAAAATACTTTCTGTTTTCAATTATGTCTGCGGACTTACAATACTAGAATCCGGGTTTCGATACCCGTGGTGGGCAGAGCACAGATAGCCCATTGTGTAGCTTTGTGCTTAATTGTAAACAGACAAACAAACTGTTTTCAATATATTATAAAGCTTGAAAATTCAGGTCGTAACAAACTGTTGGCCAATTCATAACTTTGGGCGCCCTTGGAGTTATAGCCAATAGCGATGTTAGGTAATTATAGCTGAAACTAGGCTACCTCGACACAACAAGGTTTGAAAGAAAGAAGTATCACGATTGGTTTTACATGCGCAGAGAGTCTGCTTAGGTTGTTAGCCATGTCAGGTGTAAGGTGTCGTCTTAGAGAAATCAAATGTCCTTGCACCTACTAAGAAAGTATCCAATGCCAGAAGATGTCCTTGAATACCTTGTTGTCCATGACGTGGTGAAGAAGACGGAAACAATGATTTTTTGACCATGAAACTGAATGTATATATACTAGGGGAACTTAATAAACCTTGTCGTTTAGTGCTGAAGTGCAGTGGAACACATTCTTCAGAGGCTAAAGTATGGAACGATTAGTAAGTATACAATGGATCGTTTCCAACAAAAGTTTGGCTTCCGTTATTGACATTATTTTGTAGTTTAATTCTGAAACCTGAATAGAAGATAAATATTTTTGTAGTCATTTTAAATATGTTTGTAAGATTTGATAAATAATCTTAAACATTTTGCTTTAAGAAAAGTAGATAATTAAACTGTACACAATTGAATTTCTAATTACAAAAACTGTTTTACAGTTGCTATAAACTAATTTTCAGCAGGTTTTTAATGAAAAAAAATATGTATTTATTCCATTAATATATACATTGAAACCAGATGTATTACAAGTATAAATATCATTACAATTACAATAATACTACAATACAAGTTAAATTATAATACAATACAATACAACTTATAATTAAACCTTATCTAATTGTTGTAAAGACAAGAAGTACTTGAAACAAGTCTCAAAATTTGGATAATTTACAACTACAACTGCACTTCGGCGATGCAGTAAGCCTGTTAGATATAAAATATGAACAGAAAACTTAGTTTTAATATCTAAGTACGCTACTAGCATTTCAGGTTCATAATGCTTGTGATACACCATCATGCATAAAGACTTTCAGCTACTAGGACTTATCAGGTCAATAGGACTATAATTCTGATATTTCATATTTATCGATTAGCACAAATTAGTATTTTTGCTCCAATTTATGAGTATTTTTCTATTACCCAGGTGATTCTTGTTTGTGTCTGTGTGGCTACAACGATAGCACAGAATAGGCCATATCATGTTCCTACTAGAGTACAGTATAACCCAAAGTTTTTAACAGCACTACAACGGCAAGCTCAGCCTGCTGGTGCTAGACCTCAACAGGATAATAACAGTCCGAAAAATATTCATCAGGATTTAAAGATTCATCAACTCCAGCTTCAGAATCATGCGCAAGAGATACAACGGCACCTTCAGCAAGAACAAGAAGCTTTGAATGGAAATTTTCAGCCTTCAAACCAACAAGTATATCAGCAACAGTCTCTTCAGGCAGCTCACCAACCCCAGGATCAGCAACAGTACTATCTTCAACAACAAAATTATCAGCAACAGGCTCTTCAGGCAGCTCATCAACCCCAGGATCAGCAACAATACTATCTTCAACAACAAAATTATCAGCAACAGGCTCTTCAGGCAGCTCATCAACCCCAGGATCAGCAACAATACTATCTTCAACAACAAAATTATCAGCAACAGGCTCTTCAGGCAGCTCATCAACCACAGGATCAGCAACAATACTATCTTCAACAGCAACAGGCTCTAGAACCAAATTATCAACTTCAGGAGCCTGCCACTCCTAAGAACTACCATCCACCAGCTCTTGTCCACAAAGTCAACATCGGAATGAAACTCCAAGGTGACTACGACTTTACTTACGATACTGGTAAAGGTCCTCTCGGTCAAAGCTACCGTACCGAAACTCGTCTTCCCGACGGAACTGTAAAAGGTTCCTACGGTTACCTTGACAGCGATGGTCGACAGAGGATTGTTAAGTACATCGCCGGCAAAGGAGGGTTTGTTGCTGAGGGCGATGTTGGTCCAGACAATGCATGATCAAACAACACTTCATCATCCACGATACTGAGAGATTGAAGTGCTTCATAATTATTACGGTGAATTAAAGTTTTAATTCATCAGTGACTTAAGCTGCACATTTTAAAGTAACTAAGAAGTACCAGTGTGAGTAAAGAAATATGTTATCAAAACAAGATTATCATTATTAGTTATCAAAAGCACCCTAGTAAAAAGTTTAAAGAAAAGTAATATCGTCCAATCATGATGCAGATAAAACGTGTTATCAGTCAATCATGACGGAGCAGTAGAACATTTTTAAACAGCTTTATTTATTTTAGATTTCTTCATTTTGTGTAGCCATTGTTATCAGTTGGTCATAATAATCGATTTGACATGATATTAAAGAGTAACCACCGAGGTCTATATATTTTTTTATTCTCTCAGTTTTTATATATTTTTGAAAATTTTCTGGGTTTTCATTCGGTGAAAATTAATATGTTGTGCTACCTACTGAAATACATGTGTTTTTGGAATTATGGAACTTATCTTTAATAATTTCGCAACAAAATATGCTCCACACTTTGGGGCCGTGGATGCGTTATAAGAGTTAAGGCCAGGTTCCATAATTCTGTCAACTAAGAGTAGTCTAAGAACCTTCCATCTGATCTATCAGTTAAAAATTAGGAATGGCTATGTGCAACTTCGTTCGAAATTCTGAAATGAACAAATATTGATAACTTATAATAACATTCTGGAACTATATAAGTTTGTGACTAATTTAATTATTAACTAGGAAGCAAACTCTGATTTCAGTCTGAAATATTCCAAGCAAATCGCCATTTTTAAACCTTTACCGTGAGGAAATATGGAGGAAAATTTGGTGAAGACTAGCTTAGCAGTAAGTTGCCTCATTGTCAAAATTATCATGATTTTGCTTGTTCTATATGTTCGTCAACATCTGTGAAAAACAAAGAAAATGAATAAATAAAAGAGGTCTTGTTTTAATTGTCTGGTTACTATAATTTGTGTTTTCTGTTGCACAAACGTATAGCGGTGCTTTAAGTTATACAACGTTTATGTACAATGGCAAGATAAGTCCCTCCACTCTAAGCTTGTAAACATATAAACTATAGTTTACGTATCCTTTATTAATAATAAGGTAATCATTAGATTGTATTAGTAACAAAACAAAACGGAAGAGTAAGTTAATCATAAAAATAATACTTTTGAAAAATACATACACACGAAAAATCAGCTTTCAGTGAAAAAATAATGTTAATAAATTTAGTGCACAAAGTTACTTAGGCTGTTTTTATTGTGCCCTTTCACGCGCTTTGTAAAGTAATGCAATCGGTATAGAAATAATGCTTGTTTGTTTGTTATTAAGCACAAAGCTACACAATGGACTATCTGTGCTGTGAGTTCATCAGCATAAATAAATAAAATATATTGTATGCCTGACTTTATGTTTGTTATGCGTAAGACCTCTTTGTTTGTGAGTAGAGCTACACAACAGGAATTTAGCAATGTAAGTCCGTAAACTTAACGCTGACCAATGGAAATACATCAAAGAACAACGTTATGATATTCAATTTGTAATGCAGATACTTTCAAATGGTAAAGCTGCATTATTTCGGCCCCCCAGTGGCACAGCGGTATGTCTGCGGACTTACAACGCTAGAATCCGGGTTCCGATACCCGTGTTGGGGCGAATTATATAAACGTTTTTGAAAAACACGCTTTACAGCGCGAGAGGATATGAGAAGACGAAAATCTGTGTGCCACAGTAATGGATCTAGGATTTAGGAAAGGGGTGCGATCGTCTGGATGGGCGCCATATAATTTCAGCATGGATCGTTTATATCGATGCAGCCAGATGATACATCAAATTAAATATAATACTATAAATTATTGGCTTGTAGCTAGGAGAGGCAGGAAATGAAATCTTTTACTATTAAAAGGGACGCACTTTAGAGTGTAAAGGCGCAAAATTATTAAAAAGTGGGACGGCCGCACCACCCAACCCTCCTGAATCCGCTAATGGTGTGACAAATCTAGTCATACAACACTAGTCTCAGTACCAGTCTTAGATCTTGAAGAGAATTATAAAATGTTCTAGCTTTCCACAAAATCTTCTACAATCTGAAGTATTTTAATTTTAATTTTGAACGTAATGGTGAAACGGACCGAACTTATTTAGGGTGAATGGTAAGCTTACAATGAACTCTTTTTTTAGAACATACGAGTCCTGAATTGGCCATTTACTTTTCAATTAAAAATAAATATTTTTGCCTTATAACTGAATATTTGGCGCAGAAGACAACAAAATTACATCCTCAATAATCCCTTTCTTGGTGCATATGCCTAGAGAATGTTGTTAGAAGACAATAACATTGATTCATCATTAACCCCTTCTAGTACATCTAACTAGAGAATGTTGTTAGAAGACAATAACATTGATTCATCATTAACCCCTTCTAGTACATCTAACTGGAGAATGTTTTTTGGAGACAATAACATTTCATTCTCATTAATCCCTTTCATGGTACATTTACATAAAAAGTGTTTCTGGCTAAATGCCAAAGGATGTCTTGGAACGGAGCAATCTTACTCTCTTTTGATAAAATTTAATTTTGAGGAGTCAAAATCGGCCTTTTTCATTTAATACGAAATTTTTAAACGATAGAAATAATTATAAGTAATACAGTTAAAAACAAAACCACTTAACCTTTCACAAAGTCTAAGATTCACGTCATTCCAAACGCATTATCAAAAAGCGATATCTAAGAATAATTGGAGTTAGTGTTTATTTATTTTTTACAGAAAATAATATTTTATGTTGATATTCAGTTTTAACGTAGGAAAAAAACTCGCTTTAACTTGAATATCTTGCGTGACATGAAAGTCGATGTTTTTGATATCTGTTTGTAAGACATAAACTTAAGCTTTCTTTAGCGCAAAGAAAATTTTATAACGTGTGTTACTTATTACAATTTCGAATGGTCTGAAACCGAGCTAAATGATAATTTAGATTTAGTAGTTATATATATATGTCGATATATCTCCAATTTATGATATTTGCCAACAAGATTGATACAAGCAGTTTCTTTTTTTACAAATAATTTAATATACAACCATCAATACAATTTACAATAACAGTTATTACAAATAGTTATTACACACAATGATTTATATACAAATATTTCACAAACTTACAAGCAATATAAAGTCTTCTTTCTAGTTTGGAACTTTTTTCGATATATTATCGAGGGTTCACGATGAGCGAGTTAATTACGAGTTGATGTAGGTACAATTCGCTAGCTAGCTTTGTACTTCGTTATCTCACTAGCCACACATGCCGAGTTTTCCACGATGAAGGTATATAATGTTTTCGTAAAAATACTAATGTCCAATGTGAATTCACTGAAGTTAAATGATTTGTAATTTTCAAACTTTGTAAATGCTCCTGGTCAAATATCTGAAGTTTTCAGATTAATAAGCGCTAATCACAATTGTAGCTATAGCTTCCGAAGTTTATAGCACACTGACTATAGCAAACTAATAATAGATACTCTCTTCTTTAGACGTGTCGCGTTGATTATATTTATAGGCGTGTGGAGAGTTTCTAGAAATTTCAGATTACATAACAATACAAAGCTACACTGGCGTTTACGTTCATACATATATTGTTGATTCTTACACTCAAGAATCTTCTACATCTTTAGAGAATATGCTGGAGTTTCGCAATACATATTTAACACTATATGCTATGCATATTTCTAAATATAAACTTAATCTAAACAAGCGTTGATATTAAAATAAATATATAATAATAGATACGTCACACGTGACTTTTAATAGCGTTCACAGACTTCACAGAGAGTAACATATATTTGATCTTGTTACCAAGGCCACGATTTATATTGTTGTTACAAAAATCAAGGTTGTTACGACAAGGAATCTTAATAACTTAAATAAAACATAAGTAAGGTCGAGTACAATTAATCAACATCATTCACAATATAACTCCTCCCTCTATTCTTCCAGCAAAAAACCTTGAAAATTGCTCAAAGATCATGGAAGAGGAAACACGGTCTAAGACAAAATTCCAAACACACCTTCTGTGTTCTGATGTGTCCTTGTAGTAAAAGCTTCGTTTTACAGCTTTTCTTATCTCACACATTCAATTTTAATTATAGATTGTAGTTGGATGAAAGATTGCCTTGCTGAGAGTCTATTCTTTTTTTTAAATATGTTCTTAGTTTATAAGTCTCAAATCTGTAAAAACAGGAGACAAAAATAATTTGTGTTGTGAGTAACAAATATAGGATTCATTTATTTTTACCCTTTTATGCAAAAAGGAGGTATCTATTATTTGTTACATTTAATAATTTTGTGTGTGTTTTTGAAAAAACTCGTTTTTGCTTATTTTGGTTTTATGATGAATTAGTGTATATATATAAAATGGAATTATTTGCTAAAATATTTTACCATAGACTAAAATAACAACAAAAAGAAATTTCAATCACTTAAGAATTAGCTATTGAAATTATAAAGAATACTGGTTTTCAGAAACAGATCAACCCTTGCCAGGGTCAGTGGCAAGCTCACAACGGAACTCTTTTAGAACATTTGAGTCCTGAATGGGATTTTTACTTTCCAAGTAAACATAAGCCTGTTTGCCTTATAACTAAATATTTGGTACAGAAGACAAAAACATTGCATCCTCATTAACTACTTTCCTGAGGCCTGGCATGGCCATGTGACTATGGCACTCGATTCGCAATCTGAGAGTCGCAGGTTAGAGTCCTCGTCAAACCAAACATACTCGCCTTTCCAGCCGTGGGAGCGTTATAATGTGACGGCCAATCCCATTATTCGTTGGTAAAAGAATAGCCTAAGTGTTGGCGGTGGGTGGTGATGAGTAGCTGCCTTCCCTTTAATCTTTCACTGGTAACTTAGGGACGGTTAGCATAGATAGCCCTCGGGTAGCTTTGCGCGAAATATAAAACAAACCAAACCCTTTCCTGATACAAAGATCATTTTCAAACTTTTAAACCGAAGAATCAAGATTAAATTATATTATTTTGTAAGACTCATATCGTACGTGAATTAATATGTAAAGTCCACATATAATTCTACAAGAAAATAATATTCTTATTTCGATTCTTAGGTAAAATAGTCGAATTTAATAACGCGTGTCTACTTTCACACGGAAATAATGG